CCACGCAAATGGCCTTCGTCCGTGATGTCTTGCATTTCAGTTTGAGCCGGCTCGTTCAAGGTAGCTCATCCATTTTTCTCTGAAAATGCTGAGCTCAGCGGTTTAGGAGCAGGGCAGGGTGAGGAGCATCAAGAAGGGAGTCTGTAGCAAGACAGCTAAGTGGAAAATGGTGTTTGTCTAGCAAAGAACCCAGCATCCTTTATGAAACACTCGTTGGAAGAGTTCAACATTGAGCTATAAATTCAGAACGATGGTTCATTTTAAAAGCAGCGCTTGCATCAGAAAGGAAAACGCCCTGTGGGCTGCAGCAGCATAGTACTTTGTGACTATCTTTAAAAAAAAAAAGCTAGTTTAAGGTCAAGAATAAGATACCATGGAACAAACCGGTTCTTCTAGTACGTCTTCGGCTTTCCTGGTGTTTCTGTGATGACTGTGCTCATGAAACCTTCAGCGACTTCTCCCAGAGGGGTTATATGAGCACAGAGGTGAGGATGGAAGGTTTTCTGGGTGGAGGAGTCCTTTATCTTCTCCTGGGGTTAGCTCAGGGGTGGGCACAGTCCGGCCTGCAAGCCAGATTGGGCCTGTGGCAGACTCCATTTCCCAGCGGCCCCTGTCCGTGTTGCTACAGCCAATTTCCACGGAGACCCCAGCAGTGGTGGGGCCGTCACACGACGGGGCCAGGGTTTTCATGTGGACTGTCTCCAGCAGCGCTGTTAGGGCGCGTGGCTGGACGGGGAGCTGCTCCAGGACTGGGAACTTGCAGCAGTGACGACGCGGTCTGGAGCCCCGGCAGAACTGTGATCCACTGCCCGCACATCCCGGGCAAGGGCACGCAGCAGTGGATCACAGCTTTGCCCTGGCTCTGGACCACGCCGTCACCACTGCAGGATCCCAGCCTCGGCCCTGGAGCAGCTTCCTGCCCTGCCAGCGCTGCTGGGGCCAGGCTCCATGGAAACCCTGGCCCTGTGCTGTTGCTGTGGTGGCCCTGCCACTGCTGGGGTCTCCATGGAAACCGGGTACAGTGACATGGGCAGGGGCTGCTGGGAAATGGAGTCCGGCCACTGGCTGGCTCTGCTGTTTTGCCCACCCCTGGGTTAGCTTCTCAGCATTGGAGCCAGAAGCGACCTCAGGAGATCATCTGATCCAGCCCCCTGATCAACCAAGATCCCAGAAGGCCTTAGTTTGGTCCATGCTGCCAACTATTGCACAGCTGGCCACACCTGGCAGCCTTTGCTCATGGGAAGACTCAACTGAAGGGAAGAGAATAAGAATCTGCTCATATTGTAGCTGGCTCTATCCACTGCTGTCTGTTACAACCAAGAGTGAAAATTATGCTGTTATGAGGTCTCACAGTTAATTAAACCTGCCCTGGATCCCTTCATTGAAGTGCTGCTGGAAACAAAGACCACTGGTGACAGGATAAAGTTTTTAGACCTGCAGCCCCAGCAGTAGAAATCAGTGCCTTCTAGTTGTTTGAATGCCTAAAAGTCATCGAACGTCTTGGTCCCTGGGAACCTGGGGATGGTTTGAAGTGAGATCTGAATGGTTTTCTCCCTTCTCCCTCGTTGGCATTTTTCTTGCACACGTAGGTGTTGCGATTGGGCATAAGTGTCCGGAATCACTCGATGTACGCGCAGAATCTCGCCATGCTCAAAGATACCGTGGGTTTTCCACGTTACCCAGCAGTGATGTCAGACCAAAGATCTGCTTTGCAAAGACATTCTGGTCTTCATGCTAGGGTCAATGCACATGTGAATGCATCCCTCCCTCCCTTTTTGCACGCGGGTTATATTTCGGGCAGGACTGAACATCTTCAGGCGCTGCCCAATAGCATCACTTTCACCTCCCTTTCCAGCTGCAGCCCGGCGCCTACCGTGGGTGAGCCTTGGGCCCAAGAGGAGCACCGTTCAGAGCGCTCTCTAGCCCAGTCGGGGCTACTGTGACCATTCAGCTAGTACAGGGGTCCATAGTATGTAGACAAGATCCCACATCTGTGAAAACTTGGCATCTCAGTCCGGTTCTTATCACGAGCATTTCTCGGACCTGCCGCAACAGCCAGCATTTTTATTGGCAACTTAAGCGGAGGGGGCAGAGGTCGAGTATGGAGACCTGAACAAGCCCTTACACTCATCAGCGGCATCTTTCCAGCTGTCTATGGGAAAAGCAGTGAAGGGGAAGCTTTCCTTGCTGCTGTCTGAGCTGTGTCTGACCCCAGGGAAACGGAGAAGGTCGGTTCTCCAGGACTCTCAGCAGCACTGAAACGGAGCCTTAGACCAGAAGTCCTCCGGGCCGAGCAAGAAAGGGTTATGGGTTATGCAATAGGTGACCTCTGGTACACTCCCTGTCAGCTCTTATTTGTTAATAGGATGCTGCTGAGCAGGGTTTGAAATAAGGCAGGGCTCAGCCTGAAGGAGAAGCAGCTTTCTGTCTTTGCAGTTCAGCACAAGAACACTCCCAGCTCCTCCTGCTGTATGGGCACGTCACGGAGACATCTCCCATGCCTGACCGGGATGGGCAAGCAGGGGCTTGGCTTGGAGGGGGTGTGCAGAGCCATGCGCCCGAGAGACCTTTGCTGAGCTGTGCTCTGACTGCTACAAAATGGGCAGGGCTGGGCCAGCTCCTAACACTCAACTAAAGTCACCGGGCAGAGGGTTAAACAGCTTTTCCAAGATGCCAGTGGCAGAGTGGGATTGGAAATCCAGCGTTTCTGAGTCCCCTGTGCTATGACATCTAACACTCAGCAGTGACAAGAGCTGCAGAGAACAGGAGTTACCAACTGCAAATTGGCACAGGTTGCCTTCCCTGGGCCGGGGCATGGGAGACTGATGCTGTCTGTGTGCCACGCAGTCAAAGCATCTCATAAAACAGGGATGGGCAACCTGTAGCATGGGCAGCCTGTGTGCGTGGCATGCAGCAGATTGGGGAAGGAGCAGTGAACACAGCGGCAGATAGGGCGGGGAGCAGAAGATGGGCAGGGAAGGCAGACTGGAGTGGCACTTGGGGAGGCTTAATTTGTGGTGCGCCTGCCAAAACGGTTGCCCCCCACCATTGTGAAGGATTCCATTTACCTCTGTCCCTTTCTTTTCCCTGTCCTGGCTGTCACATTAACCTCCCAAATAACTTCTTAGAGGGCTGCTGGCTATGCCTAAGGCCTGTGCAGGCATCTGCCAGTCAGGATGTGCTGCAGCGCTCTCGGGATGGTGGGCGTATAGCTGCTCTCCCAGGGTAGCACCCACAGGTGCACTCCCACAGGGAAAGCATGCCGTTCTCAGGTTTCTGGTCCCTGCAGCAGGTTTGGGAAGCAGGCGGGCCCTGCCAGTGCTACCAAGCAAACTGTTTCTTGCTCTGTTTGAGGGGAAGTCCCAGGTCTGTGCATAACTCTCACTTACTGACCTTCCCAGCCTTTAAAAGCATCTCTAACATTGCTAGCAAGATTCTGCAGTTTTCCAGATGGCAGCCAGGGAGTCCCTTCCCCAGAGAGCCGTTCTGCAGAGGATGGCAACTTTATACCAGGTAGCGGTTTGATGGCGTGATTTGGGAATTGGAATCTGTCTGGAGGATTAGAGGCACTTGGGACCACGACTATTGCTAATACTGCTTCGGCTGCAGCATGCATGAGACCATAACTCACTGCGAGGACAGTGGGGTAAGGGCTGGGACGTAAGCGGCCTGGAGGAACAGGGGGTAGACAAGTATCTGAGCTAGCAAGGAATCCAAATCAGGGCTAAGGCTGTGCAAAAGGGTTTGGGCCAAGAAGTCAGTGCAGTTTTGTAAGCCATCACTGACTATCAGATCTGACCCATCTCCACGTGCTGGGGACCGGGGCGCACTGCGACTCTGGGAACGCTGTAGCCACAGAAGGAAAGGCTGTGCCTTTAGCCCAGGGGGTTTCTCACGTGGGCCATTAGATCTTCTCCCCAAAGGCACCACGATGTTCTCACGCTGTCCGTGCCCTGATGTCGGCTCTCCAGTTCAGTCCTGACTGTGACTTCTTAAAAAAATCCTCTGGGAAAATGCTGCCCTCAAACAAGGCTGTGGCAGCAGCCAGATCCTTCGCAGGCTTGGAATAAATATTTGGGCTGAGATTTATCTTGGCAAAATGCCTGTGTGATGCTGGCACGTGGCTGAGAATCCTGGAGTCCTCTGAAAACTGTCCTCTGTGCAGTGAACCATCTCTGCTTGCATTGCAGCAGGTTAGAAAGAGCGAGCGGGGGGTATCAGCAGCATGAGCCAGGTGATATTTTTTCCTAGGCCAGGGTGAAGAAAATAGATAATTTTTTTGGCCTGTTGAGGTGTTTGAGTCCCAACCCTGCCTGTACCTCTCTTTTCACACTTTGGCTATTTAGCTGGTACATTATGTGATTCAGGGCTTCTCCTGTGTGCATGAGAGAGACGATCACAGATGTAATTTTTAATCCTTAAAAAGACTGGTGTGAGGGCACCACTCCTGGAAGCCATCAGCATCTAGCATGAGTCTCTGCTTTAGAGGAAAGGAGACCACAAGCTCTTTGTGTCCGCCCCATCCCTTGTCCAAGGGGTGACCCACATTTACTGCCCTGTCTGTTGTGGCCAAGGGGTTAAGTGACTGAAACGAAGGCTTGCAAATGTTGAAACCCACCATTAAAATTTCACAGGACTGAAAGCAACTGGAGATCTTGAGGGAGCACAGAGCCCAGTAGGATCCAGTCTCAGACTGGCTTGCTACGAAGTGGATTGCTCCCCACACCACAGGGGAAGGCCCCAAAAACCCATGGTCCATGCCATTTTGTCCAGGGTGGCAGGATACCTCCCTGTGGATATTGAGTGGCCCACAGAAATAATTTTCCTCCTGATCCCTGCATTAGGAAAGAGGACATGATGCTCCTTGCAACAGAAGAGAGAGACCTGGGAAATGTTTCCCTGGCCCCTGATGTGGGGCATGCTGAGCTTGTGCGGGGGGGCCTAGTAATTGGAGATGTTGTGAACTACAGACACGTAATCAAAGCAAAATGAAAGAGATTCTTGTCTCTCTTTATTTCACAGAAAAGGCCACGGATGGCTCCCTGCAGAGCGAAGATTGGACACTGAACATGGAGATCTGTGACATTATCAACGAGACGGAAGAAGGGTATGTGCTGGTACAGAGAGCTCGCGGGGGTTCAAGGCATTCACGCTTTCATCTGTCTTGCACGGGCTGGGAGGTGCCGTCTGCTAGGGCACGGGCATTCCCAGTGCTGAAGCCAGGTTTGAGACTGCAGATGACTTGTCTGGTCTCCTGGTCCCAAAACAACATCAGTTGGCTTCAGAAAGCCATGCTGTCAGGTCGCGCTCCATGCTGCAGGTCTCTGCTCGGGGAAGACAGAGGGTTGGAGTAACATGAGAGGTTGCAGGTCTGGACTAAGATTCATTAGAAAAGTTTTCTGCAACAGCACTAGCCTTTTCCCTGTAATTCCTGGGACGATCCATACGGGATGTATTAAATGTGCCACCATGGCACTTACTGAGCCTGTACTTCCAAGGGTCCAGGTTGCAGCAGTCTCATGACTTCCAAGTTCCTGCAACATATAGTGCCACTAAATCCTGAGGTTTAAAAGGGGGCTTCTCTGGTGTCTCCCCTTTTGGCACGCACAAGAGCCAGGCAGTTTGCCCCAAGCAGCAGGACTGGTTTCACTGGTGTCTCCCCAGCAGTCAACTTCCTGCTATTGCAGGGGCCTCAGGCATTTCTTGGTGTTGCTCCTGCTCTCTGCCAAGAGACTCACAGGTTAGGGTTTTTGAGGACTTAAAAGCATTTGGCTTGATACGGGGTTTTGGGGAGAATCACAGTGGCCTGTGTTATGCAGGTTAGACCAGGCAACTGGATAGTCCCACTTGACCTTTCTGGCTATAATTTCTTTATAGAATAGAGAAGTCAGGCTGGAAGGGACCTCCAGAAGTCATCTAGTCCAACCCCTTACCTGAAGCAGGGATTATCCCTATCCAAATTTCCTATACAAATCCATAATGTATAACCACTTAGTAAAATTACTATCAACCCTGATACAACACAAGACATAAAACCCTAATCTGCCACGGGTAAAGCAGGGGGATGATGGCAGCCAATGTCTTACTTGTATAAAAGGCTATTAATATGTGCTGAAAAGATCCCAGGTTGAGGGCCTGCCCCCCAATACAGAGAAAGGCTATATTTTCTTACCTCATCACATAACTGTAGAAGACTTTGTGGGTATATTCCTATGCCACGTTTCAAGTAATCATAGTTAAGTTCACACATGCTTGTGTCCAGGGGTTAGGGGCCTCTGATGTCCCCTCCAGCTGCGGAGTGAAAAGCTTCCCTGAGCTTTCTTTAAAGATGGTTGTTTCTCCTTTAGTCCCAAGGATGCCATCCGTGCGTTGAAGAAGAGGCTGAATGGAAATAAAAATTACCGAGAAGTGATGCTGGCTCTGACAGTGAGTGGGGTGAACTGGGGTCCCGCGGTGAGAAGATCCCAATGGCTGCAGGGGCTGCCCTCCGTGTTTTCCCTTCACCCTCCCCAGCTGGCTTTGGAAGGTGTATACACTGCCTTAACTGCCCTTGCTCTGTCAGCTCCTCATCTCCCTCAGGAAGCATTACAGTAGCTCAAGTTGGATGGAGTTTTGCTTTTGTCCAGGCTTCTACCTACAGTGATAAGTGAGGAAATTCAGGGCTGAAGCAGAGCCCCTTTTAGGCTTTTCCGCCTACTGGCACTTCCCTCTTCCCAGTTGTTCCCTGCTCCCAGGCCTTAGCCATAAGCACATGTGCAAATGAACGTGGTGAGCTTACCATATCATTCATCAGTGTCATATAACCAGCTTGCCTGATGAATGAATCTGCATGCAAGACGTGCCGAGTTAAATCACATCAGCAGAAATTACTTGAAGGCAGTGATTTGGTTCTACACATTCACCCAGCACTAGACGAGTGCCTGATCATTTGCCAGTGACATCTGCTGATTTCTTTAGCAAGGAGTTTGAGTAAAAAGGCTTTATTGGGTGATGTGGCAGACTGAAACGTGCGCTGGTGGGTGCATTTTGCATTTCGTGAAGGCAAAGGAGAAATACCGATGTCCTAGATTAACATACGGCCATGCACCTGTCATGCAAATCTTGCTATTGCCCTTCAGTCCTAATGTGCCTGAGATGAAACCCTGTTTTATTAGACTAGTGCATTTGTTACCTCTTCCTCTTCCTTGCCCTGGCTTGTCATCCTGAGAACTGCCAAGTTTTGGTGTTTGTTCCTTAAAGACCAAAAAGGATACATAATTGTCCACTGTCCATCGAAAATGGACTCATGGCTGCAAGTCCACAGGCTTCAGCCTGTATCAGTGGGTCTAAGGACATCAGCTGAAGCAGTGGGGGCAATTATGAGCACCCCTACTATACATATATTATAACCGCAGCGACCAGTAGCTGTGGTTATGAGAGATGCGGTGGTATTTACCTCCACACGTATCATGTCTTCATAGATGAGTCAATGGTAGAGTCAAATGGCAAAGAGAATTACTTCAGCTAGTTAGGTGGAAAAAATTAATTTAAGCACAACCTTTCAGAGCATTTAAAGGGGAATGCTTTGAAGGGCTGAAGATATTTCAGCTTAATTCCCGTATATACATTTTCATATATGGGAATGAAATCTGGGCCAGTTATATTTCAGGAGCATGGAAAACGGCTGGACTCCACAAATACATGTCAGCCTCACTCTGACAGGACATACATATTACATGCTATGGTTGTAATACTCAGTGTTTTTTAAGCCTGTAGGGTGAATTGCCAAAGTGAGCACATTTGAAAACTGAAGGAACTTTCCCATTTCTTTACTCTGGGGACAAGACAGGTTGGGACAGACAGGTGTTGGGGGTGTTAATGCTAGTGACTCGATTCATCACAAGTTTGAATTCAAGTTGAAAAAGAAAAGGGCTCTGGGATGAGTCATATTTTTTTCTGCATCTCTTGGAGCCAAAGGCATCATTTCTAGTGCTGCTGTCTCATCAGCTGAACACTTTTGTTGACTGATGTGTGAAAGCAAAGGACCAAAATTACAAGTGGGAACTATGAGAGCAAGCTATGTTTGAGCTACGTCATGTTTCTGCTAATGCAGGATTGCTACCTTTTGGGGCAATTAATAAAGCGACTGGTTTGCATTGTTCTGTTGAAGGTGACTGAAAGCTATAAATGAATTTGTAGCTGTGTGTGCAAAGGTGGAAGCTATCCAGGGATACCTAGGAGGAAGAAGGGGGAACCAGGAAAGTGGGATTAGCTATCCCCAAAGTATTTCTTTTAACCAGGTGACCTCTTCCCCTTGTGTGCATGATCAAGCCTTTGGTCCATCATTGGATGCCTTCATTTCAGGTATTGGAAACTTGTGTGAAGAACTGCGGCCATCGCTTCCATGTCCTCGTGGCAAACCGTGATTTCATAGATGGCGTCTTGGTGAAAATCATCTCGCCCAAGAACAACCCCCCCACCATCGTACAGGATAAAGTACTAGCGCTCATTCAGGTATGTAAGTCACCTTCCAGGCAACAGCTTTGAATTAGGGGCTGCGTGCCCATGTGCTGTACAGGCTGAGCATGTGGGCAGAGCTAAATATAACAAGCAGTTTGCTTTTGATAAGCAAATGACTACCCCAGAGTGATATTGGGGAGATTCTGTTTTATGGCAAGAAGGTACAGGGCGGAAATGTCTTCTAGAGCCTAAATACATAGGCAAGTACTGTGCTGATAAGAGAGGGTTTTTCCCTTTTTTTTTAAGTGATGTGTAAATGATCTGTTGGTTAGATCCAGAAGATGCAGCCCATATTGTGCCTCCAGCTCTGTGATGGACTCTGTATGAGGTTAGACAAATCATTTGAGGGCCTAACCCTGCCCTCATTAAAGTCAGTGGGAAGACCCTGGATTTCATTGGTGCAAGAGCAGTGCATTGACCTCCTCATGCTTTTTCCTCATTTGTGAGATGAGATGGCTTTCTCGCCTCTGCAGCAGACTTTGAGATCCTTTGATGAAAGATGTGCATAGAACTGCAAAGAATTATATAGGGTCTAACGTGCTGACTTCCACGTTCCCTCTGCCTGCCCTACAACAGCAGCAGCACACACCTGAACACTGTCTCCAGCCCTCCCTGCTACCTTTTCCTTTTGTGCTGCATAGAAATAAAACTCTTAATTTCCAGTCCTGCTAGAAACACATGGGGAAACACTGGCAGTTGCCTGGAGGCTATGTGACAATCATAGGAAGCTCTGTCTGTGAGTTCTACCCAGCTGTTACAAACACCAGAGGGTAAAACACTCTGTGTCTGAGAGAGAGAGATTCTTCAGAGGTGCTGCAGTTCTCCTGGGAATATGTTTCTAGGCATACGACGCAATTTTTTAAAATGTGTTTTTAATTTTAATTTGAGAAGTAAAACATGCCAGTGAGCAATGAAATGCTTCAGCAGTTGGAAGCACAAACACACAGCTGGCCCATATATAATGCACGACTTATTAATCGAATTAAAGCAGGAAGCGAGCTGAGTGGGAGACCTGGATGTGCCTTTCCTAGGGGCTTCAGGGTCTCCCTCCCACTTCATGGCTATCTCTGTACATTAATGCACTTTAGTAGACTGTGTTAAATGAGGCTTGTTGGTCTGAGTGAGCCCGGGGTGTTGACTCCCTTGGGTGTAAAGCTAAAAGGTGATGTCACTGAATGATAATATTGTATTAGGTCGTTAGTGGAAACTGTGGGCACTTGTCACTGTTGGGTCTTTGCCATGTCATTTTGGAGGATGTTGGCCAATTTATCACCCAGATTTAAATGAGTTCTCACCCATTAGTAAATCAAAGCCAAACAGTGATTGCAACATTACTGCGAGTCCTTGTGATTGCTTCAATCTGTAGGCCAAGCCTGGATGCAATGGGGTTAGAAGGCTTTATTGGTTTGGTTGGTGCGCTAAACGCCTTTTGGTACAAACAGCCTGGCAGCTGTAAGGAGCAGCCTGCGGTTGGCTCCCACACACAGACCTGTGCCTCTAGAGGTGGTGGTGGGTGACTGATTCAAGGGGAGTGAATGCAGAAGCCCTCAGCGCCAACAGGCATGTGCGAATGGGTGGAGGCACCTGTGTGGCCAGGCAGTTAGCTGTGCTTCCAGACTTCACCCTTTGGACATCCTGCAGTTGGAGGTTGCTCTTGTTTTCTATTCTGTAGGGCTGCCTCTATCCCCAGGTCTGCTACAGCGATTGCTTACATAGTATTTGTTCTTCCCTACAGTATAATATTAGGAAGCATTAGTACCTGCCAAGGTAACAAACTAACAGCCCAGCCTAGAATATCAGAGGGTGCTGTGCACACATCTGTCTTCAGGCAGCTATTCTTCTGCTCCAGGGTGTTTTCCCAGCGCAGATGCAAGGTGGGGATGGCTTTACCTAATGACTTGGTTGAGTTCAGATTTATTTTGCAGCTGAATGACTTTTATAGCTGTAGTTTCATTAGCACACATTACATGGAGCTTGCCCCTCTCTTACTTCCGCTCAACAGAGTCTGTGGGAACTACTCTTTGCGTTTCCCTTGCAAGAGGGTGCATGCTGTCTCGAGTTCTTGCCTTCCTGCCTTTCCCACGGGAGAGCAAGAGCACGAAAAATAATAAGTCCTGGTGAGACTATGCAGAAGCACAATGAACTTAGTTGGCAGTACCCGTATGAGAGTGGCTGTGCTGGAAAGCTGGGTCTGTGGCTAAATGGTTGTAAATATGGCCCCTTGTTCATCTAACTGGCTTAGGCATTGATGTCAGTCCCAGTAGGCACCTGTCCACATCTTTAGGCTTGTAAATACCTAGGTAAGCCTGGCCGTAGGACCCAGCGATCTGGATTCAGTTCCCAGCTTTGTCACAAACTTCCTTGGATTTGCACCAAGTCCCTAGTCTCCTTGCTTTTGCTGTTTCTTAGGGTTTTAAATTGGACTAATGCCGCTTCTGTCTGTCTTGCTTAGCTCTATTGTAAATCTGTCAGGACAAGGACTGATTTACTATACATATGTACAACACCTAGCACACTGTGGCTTGTCTTGGCTGTAGGTGCTACAGTAAAGCAAATAACATCCTGACGAAGGTAATTGTTGAAGCAGGGTAGGTGGAAAGGCTGTTTCCCGATGACTTTTACACATTTTTTTCTTTGTTCGTTTGGTGTCAGGCTCAGTAATACCGCACATTGGACATGTCATATAGCATGGCTATTGTGTGGGCCAATTCCAGCGCTCTCAAAGAGAGGGCTTATGCTACACCTCCATGTCACAAATGGCACTAAGGATTAGCCATTCATCAGCTACAGGGGACAATGGGGGAGGCCAGTTCTTGCTGTCCAGGTGAAAGATGGACCCTCAATAAAGCAGGCTGAAGTGGAAGGGCCGAGTGGAGAGAATGGAGGGGACCGTGCGGCACGGGGCACCTCAAAGCCGAAGCAGCACGTGTGCAGGTGTGACACATCTCTCTAGGTGCGAAAAGAGGCCAAATAAGCAGATGAGCTGGGGTGATGTGAGGATGCCAGTGAAACCTGGAGTACAATTATGTCTCTTCTTGATGGGCCAGACAGGAGTTTGTGCATTGGTGCAACACAATTGTGGTACCTGCCTAAGAATGAGTCTGTGCTGTGGCTAAACATAGCTCATTTAACCCATTTCTTTGTATCCTCCCAGTTGATGGCCCATGGAGAGGCAGGGTGTAGGAACGAGTTTCAGAGGGCCTCTCACATAAATTAAAAACACCAAGACAAAGATAGAGTTACCTGTGTGGCGAGGATGCTTCTGCTGTAATTAAGGAAGCTTCCTTGAGACTGACCTTTCAAGCCACAGTGGCTCGTACCCAGCGCAGCTCGGGTTTCTTGTGCTGCAGAAGGATTGGTGAGACTCTCGCGTGGCATCTGAGCAATTGATGCAATTAATTTACTTAAGCAGTGTTGGGAAGCAGAACCATTAGCCTCCAAGTGATGATGGATTGCTCCCTGTGCAGGCAGGGTGCAAAATACAATTTCCTAGAAGCGAGCAGAGCCAGAGCGTAAGTAAAATATTTAATCTGCTTTCTAATCTAGTTTATCCTCCCTGATTGTTATTTCCCCCCTTGTGAAAGGTGGCTGAAAATCACATTTTCGGGATGGAAATAACTGAAGGATGATTGCAGCAAACAACTGTGATGAGCACCTGCGTGCAGCTCTTTCTTTGATCTAACGCTAGCTCTCTGATTCAATGGTAGCACTTTACCTTTCACTGTAGTGCTGCAGCAGCCAGGGGAACCAAATGCAATGTCTGGCTTGTTACAGAAGAACCTGAGAGATGTTTGCGTGCTCATGCTTAGATTCTCCTTGGCAGCAAATGACAATGCTTTGTAGAGCAAGGCCAAGTGGCCAAAGGCTTTCTACCTTCCAGATCCTATTAAAACAGATTCTTCCCTGTTAGAGTTTACTGTGGGTCTGAACCTGTGAAGTAGGAGGAAAAGGTCAATGCTTCACCAAATGCATCTAAAAAAGAGGATTTCTGGGACTTGGGTTTCATGAATCTGCCTGTGTTAACTGGTATGTGAACTTCTATGCACTGACTCACCATTTACTTTAGATTTACTCTTGACTGTCTTCATAGCAACTCAGTCTTTCAGAGCAGATCTAGTAATTAAAGCTTCAAATGAGAATGAAACGCATGAGCGCTTTTCTTGATTGGATCCGCATTGTAGGGTGGGAGAGCAAGAGGGGGACTTTGGTGCTCACTTGAAAGACTTATGAACGATCTGCATGTTTTCCAGGCTTGGGCAGATGCGTTTCGCAGCAGCCCTGATCTCACTGGAGTAGTGCATATTTATGAGGAACTCAAACGAAAAGGGATCGAGTTTCCCATGGCAGATCTTGATGCGCTCTCTCCAATACACACACCACAGAGGGTAAGTTATCCCTGGAAAAAAAAAACTGTGCTGTATAAAGATCATGGGATAATTCTTCTGTTTCTGCTGGTGACTTCTTACAGTGCAGAGAACTTGCTTAACGCAGGGGGACTCTTTAACAGCAAGAGAGGATGGAAAAGAATAAGGCAAGGTGGGGCTGTTAAATACCAGAATCTCTTCTCTCGAGTCAGATGTCAACTCAGAGGGGAGAGAGTTTGAAGAAGGCTTGCACACTTGTCTTGGTTCACCAGATGGTCACACAAACTAAACTACCATGCTTAGAAAATGCCCTAGCAAAGATCTGTTGTTGAGATTCAGTTTATCTCCTCCCCAGAGAGGCCAGCTTTCCTGTTAGGACCCCCTACGGTGAACCAGGAACAAAGAGGGCCTGTCTCGCAAAGATTCTTGGCGCCCGCGGCTCCAATTGATTTGAGTAGGAGCGCCAAGTTCCCTGTATCTTCAAAAGGCGGGTCTGCAACCTTGAGCTTGCTGTCCTGTTGGAAAGTAAACTGATTGCCCACAAAATATTTGGATTCTTCACGGTGGAAATCCTGAGTCAGTGCAATGATGTGGCTGTGAATTTAAGGGCACATAGCCAGGAAACTCACCTTACGGTTCTCACAGCAAAATGAGTTTCCTGCAGTACATACAGAGCGTGTGATTCTGCAGCTTGTCACTTGATTTCGAAGCAAAATGTATTTCGTCCTGTTGCTTCCCTTTTTTTTTGGCTTCTTGCCTTTCTTGTGGAGGGAAACTGAACTGAAAATCTGAGAGTTAGCGCAGAAAAGATGAGTGCGGATTATCACAGCCATTCCCCAGGCATGGTCTGACATGGTAGTGCATGCTTGTTGTGATGCTGACTTCCTCCATGAGCTGCAGCTCGCATCTGTATCTGGGATCATGACCTGGAGCAGATGCTGCCACAGCTCTGGTCTGAACTCTTTTTTTTTTTCTTTCTCCCATGGCAGAGTGTTCCTGAAGTGGATCCTGCAGCCACTATGCCCACGTCCCAGTCCCAGCAAAGGATGAGCAACAGTTCATATTCATCACCTTCTCCCACGGCCTACTCAGCTCCTCAGGCTCCACCGTTGAATGTGACTGGTCCTATCACTGCCAATTCTGAACAGGTACCGGGATGAGATTTTCTTGGTTCAGTGAATCAAACTAGCTGTCTCTTCTCGCAGGCATTTTAGTTCTGCGTTGCAGGTGCAGCCTAGATCTGCTTCCCTTTAGGAGTCTTTTCTGCTGTCTGGACTGTGAAATCTTGTCCTAGGTGCACACACATGCATCCGCCATTACTTCATGTACCCTGTAGTCTTGTAAGTCATATCTGTGCCACCTTTGTGCCATGCACAGAAGTGCTGCCTTGAAGTCCTACTCGCACCTGATTAGCAAGTGCCAGTCCCAGGACTTGGATCTCATGCTACTTTCCTGTCCACTGGCCAGTGTTTCCTCTCTGACAAGAAAGAAAGGCCACTGCATAGTAGAGGAGCCACATCAGCACCTCCCGCCCCCTTTCGCCTCTTCTGCCTGCCTTGTGAGAGCAGCGTAGCATTTTCCTAGCATCACTCTGTTTTTTAGCTTCTGTTCCCATCTGAGCAGAACACAGCTGGCTCTGTCACAGTGATGAATTGTCCTCCATAGCGTCTTCTTCCATCACTGTAATAACATTCTCTCTAGGGGAAACTTTTTTTACTCCATCATGATATGTTGTAGCCTTGTTCTCATCTCCAGTGACGGGCATTAGATGTCAAGTCAATTGAGAGAAGCAGGGAGACTGGAGAGCTGTTTCTTGACAATATTCTGTTCTAAGGCCAGAAAGTAACATGGTCCTTGCTTTTCCTCCTCCCTGAAAACAGATTGCCCGGCTGCGCAGTGAGCTGGATATTGTTCGCGGGAACACAAAAGTGATGTCTGAGATGCTGACAGAGATGGTCCCAGGACAGGAGGATTCATCCGATCTAGAGTTACTACAAGTAAGTGCATTTCCTAATAAATCTCTTCCAGCTGCTTGGGACGGTAAAGTTTTGTTTTCCTACAGTCCTGTATCCGTTCCTTGGGTTGCCTGGCTTCCATGTTGATGTCCTGTGTCTGGGCTCCAAATAACCATATCCTCCTTATAACAGTCTTTGAAGGTGTTTCCCCCACCTTGGGTTTTTCTATTGTGCCAAATAAACCCTTAAATCTCAACCTGTCCTCATTGATCGCATATTCTAAACCTTTTTTTTGGCATAAGGATTATATTGCCTTATGACACTTTATGGTCCACTGTACCCCCCTTGCTCCTTCCCTGTAGTAATTACAAAGCCAGTTATTTCCCATTTGTATTGGTGCATTTGTGTCTTCCTCTCTTTAAGGTGCATACTTTGCAAATCTCTTTATGGAATTTCATCTAATTGGTTTTGGACCATTTCTCCAGTTATCAAGCTAATTTTTAATCCTGATTATGTCCTCTAAAGTGCTTGCCATTATGCCCCAGCTTGGCATCATCCATACATTTATAGGTATTTTCTATAGTTAATCACTCAATTAATTAATTAATTAGTATTGTATAGCTATGGACCCAGGACAGACCTCTCCAGGACCCTACTTGGTAGTTCTTCCCAGTTCGATGGTAAACTGTCAATAAATACTCTTTGAATATGCATTTTCACTCACTTGTGTAGCCCTTTAAAGTAAATTAATGTAGACCATGTTTCCATACCTTGTTTGTGAGAAGCCAGGTCAGAAGTCTTACCAAAGTCGAGATATATCGACTATACTGCTCATCCCATCCACTAGTCTGGTTACCTTATTGAAGAAGGAAGTTAGATCAGTTTGCCATAATTTCTTCTTGGCAGTCCATACTGGCTGTTTTTTATCACTCGTTGTCCTCATGGTGCTTATAATTTGGTTGTTCCAGTAACTTTCTGAGTACTGAGGCTTACTGGCCTATAATTCCCCAGGTCTGTCTTTTCCTTCACTTAAAGCCAGGCAAAGTATTTACTGTTCCCCAATCATCTGGGTCCTTTATGAGCTCTCAGAGATAATCATAATAGTTCAAAGATTTTTGTCACATTCTTCAAATACTGTAGGACAAATTTTATTGAGCCCTGCTGATCAGAAGGTATTCAATGCATCTAGATATTCATTAATCTATTTTTTTTAGTTAGGCCTTGGCTGTGCTCTTGTTAATGTTAATTTTGCTAAGCATCTGGTCACAATTAGCCTTTTTTATGAAGATTGAAGAAAAACTGGCATTGAACACTTAAACCTTCTCCATGTTGTCTGTTGGCAGCTTTATAATGATAAAAATTGCTCAGTCCTGGCAGAGCAGATACCCATCCTGTCTCAAGTGGGTTAAATATTACCTAGAAAGATTTTAGACTCTATCATTTGAAGTCTCTTTCCAGATGGTGAGGGCTTATTGCAAGAACCACTTGGTGATGTTTTGTGGTCTGAGTAAAGCAGGATGTCAGGCTGAATGATCAGCAGGGTCCTTTCTGACTTCAAAAACCCTCTGAATCAGGTGACAAGGTCCTGTTCCGGTTCCTTTTGTGGTAGCACTTCAAGTAAGTTCCTATCTCTGGCTTCACGTCTCATTCTCCAGGCCAGCTGTGGCTGAGGGAACATCTGGGCAATGTCAGCTGAGCTGGAGAATAAGGTAGCATGGCACCAAAGAGGAGGTGTCTGCTTGCTGGGGTTTACAGTCTTGCTCTCCAGCTGTTCGAGCATGCTTTCCCTTACCTTCCAAAGTGTCATCTCCTCAGCTGGCCGGGAGGTAGAATGGGCACGGAGAGCAGCGAAGCTGGAGGGAGACTGGGAGCCGCTTTCTGTGATGCACCAGAGTTTGAAGTCCGTCCAAAAACTGGTCTCTCCTACAGAGCAGTAGCGTGTGCCTGTCTCAGAGCCACATGGCAGCTGATGAAAGACTTTACAATAAAGAGCCTTTCAGCTTCGAACCGTTTGGGTTGGACTGTGATCAAAAAAAAAGCAGCTTCCAGGAAACCATGGTGGACTCTGAGAGCACAGAATAACTCGCCTACATTTATAGACAGCCAGAGAAATCGTGCCTGCGTAATCTGACAATACATTTTTAAGGTGAGAAGAAATGATCGTGAAGTGTGACTGGTTCTCTCTGACGGATGCAGCCTAAGTCTGAATCACAGAGCAAGCAGGCGAGAGATTGAGAGAGAGAGGCTATTTTTTGATGACAAGGGGCACGGTTAGCCTTTTAAAGGCAGAAAGGCCTCATATGCAAGGCTCTTTGGTTTGAGGTGGTATATAGTCATCCTCCTTAAATAATTCCTGACATTTTCCCCACAATGAAATGTAAACAGCCTCCTTGAGAGCCACGTCTGAGCAGAATAGACAGGTCCTGTCAGCCCTCCCTGTATGGCAGCGAGCGAGCCTCTGAAATGTCACAATCTGCTTCTAAAGTGATGGGATCAAACGTGACACTGGAGAACGCATTCCTCGAGCTGCCAAGGCAGCTGGATTGCATTAGGTGAAATTTATCCAGGGCTTAGGATGTCAGACCAAGCAAGGCAAACAATCACATTTTTGCTTTCACCCTGAAGGTTATGTACCACAAGACATCCTTGTTTAGTGCAGAGCTTCCTCTCTGCAGAGAGACGGGAGGGATGGGAGAGAGACCCAAATTATCCCAAATGTCCGTGCTTGTTCAAGGAAGGCCCAGGCCACCTTGGTGGGGCTGGCTTCTCTGTCAGGCTTCCTCGGGTAACTTTCCCAACGCATTTGTTTTGAGCCGTACACTCGAAATTCTCTGCTCGGAGACCTGGCAGAGGTGGACAAGTTTGCCAAATAATTGGTGGTGGCAGGGGTCTCATGGGAAGCACCCAGCTAGGTTTGCTTCAGTGTGAGAGGTTTCCACAGTACAGCTAAGGGTAGGTCTAGCCTGCAAGGTTTTCATGTTAACTTTTCCTGGCCTCAAGTGATTAAGGAAAGGCATTGGGTTGCACAGTGACACCAAGGAGATCTTCTTGCTCAAGGCTGCATGGTTCTGTTATCCAGAATATTTCTAAGCACGTGTTTCAAGGAGGTCTTGCTTGTGCAGCCTCTTTGCTTTATACGCACCTCTCTTTTCCAAGAAGCAGGAGCGTCTTTTCACTGTACCAAGCCTTACCAGTGTCAAATAACAACAGTCCCTTTCCGGCACCCCTTTCATTTTTAGCAACAATGCTATCCACGTACTTTGATGCACTGTGTTGCTAAACAGAGAACCTGGATATTGAAGGAAAATGTTGTCTAGTTTTGGAGGCTTTGGCATTCAGATGCTTTATACTCAAGTTTCTATGAAAGTAATTCTTAGGTATTTCATGTGTAAGAATCACTGTGATGCTTTTACGGTTGAAGACCGTGTGTGCTGAGCTATATGTAGGCCCTCAAGGTTTTGGGCACCCCGCCCCTGTGGCGTGTATTCTACCAGGCACAGGGTGACATTCAGTCTTCCAGAGTTTGTGATCTTGGGGTTTCTCAGCTGATGGATGGAGATGTTCCCTCTGGTATCTCCAACCCCAAAAAATGGTGGATGCCAGGAAGGGGATTAAATAGGGGAGAGCTCACTCTAGAGATATCTGGTTTGATGCTCTCCCTGTATAGCATCCACCTCTGCCACTGTCAGAGATGGGATACTGGGCTAGGTGGATCATTGATCTACCCAGTATGGCACTGGTTATGTTCTAATGACGGAGAACTCGGAGTCAGGAGCGCAGGAGGCGGTGAAGGGAGCACAAGCCGATCTGCTTGTTCCTTGCGGGTTGTCAGGATTCACGCCTATGCAATTTACTCCCTTAGGAGCTGAACCGGACCTGTAGAGCTATGCAGCAGAGGATTGTGGAACTGATCTCGCGAGTGTCCAACGAAGAGGTGACAGAGGAACTGCTGCATGTGAACGATGACTTAAATAATGTCTTCCTTCGATACGAGAGGTGAGGGGACCCTTTACCACAGTGCTGCCTTCTCACCTGGGCTGGGTGCAGAACAGGGTAGGCGACTGAAAATGTTCATCATAGCTCAGAGTTCAGATGATGAAACAGAAAAAAAATCAGGGGAACCAGATCACAAGAAAAGGTGCATAAAGTAGTAGGTCTCCATTGTTCTCACCAGCCATTTTTTCCCCCCCACTCAAGATTTTCAGATATTGGTCTTAAAAGCTGCTACAGTTTTGTCCTAGCTAATGAATTTTAGTTTTCTTATATTTGCTTCCCCCCCCCCCCCCCCAAGATTTGTACGTGGGTTTCATAATCTCTCGGCTTTGTTTTGTGACAGGTTTGAACGGTACAGGTCAGGCCGGTCAGCGCAAAATGCCAGTAATGGAGTAAGTATCTAATTAATCTCCTCTTGTCATGCAGCACAGCCAGAGCAAACTCCTGCCTGCTGTCGGCAGTGTCCCTTTAGTCACAGGGAAGAATGTGTATTTCTGGAAGTGATTTGTTTTTCATGTGGAAGATGGAGGTTATCTTGCACTCCACCCTGCTCCCTGTCCAAAGCCGGAGGTGGTGGGGAAACGGAAGGGAACTTCACTCATTCCAAGGTGATCTTTGAGCCTGGCAAAAGACCTTTTCAGGACTGTGTCGAGTGGAATAACACCATAGACACAAGCCAGGCAGTGAGCTAAGGCTGTTTTTCAGACACTTGTCCAGCAAGAGAGCAGAGGTATCTTTTCTCTTCTTCCCCTGCGTTCATCATCCTACAGTCTAAGCCCCTAATTAACATACTTCCATTTGGAACAGCTGCCCAGAAAGGGCATGTTAGGAAGCACACGCCATTCTCGTGTTCCCTTGTCTCTGCTAATATGACTGCCAGGAATCTCACCTACATGTAATTTTGACTGTCCTAACAGGTGCTGAACGAGGTGACGGAGGATAATTTAATAGATTTGGGCCCTGGCTCCCCAGCCGTGGTGAGCCCAATGGTGGGAAGCACGGCCCCCCCACCCTCGCTTTCCTCACAGCTTGCAGGGCTTGGTAAGTGTCTGCTTTTGCAAAGCGTGTTTCAATGGAGAGCAGCAGTGGCATAGACCACTTCTTAGTTGTTCTGGGGTGACCTTACAGTTGGATCAGCAGGTGTTAGCAAGCACAGCGAACTGTTTTTGAGGTAGTTTTAGTGGTAACATCTCGGTACCACGAAGAAGCATATATGAAAAGTGTCAGCTATCAGACAGAGCAGGGGAAAAGGAGGCAGAGCTGGGTTCTGCTCTGACACGTGTGAAGCTGTGAAGCCTTTGGGGTATTCACTTAGCTTCTGTGCTGCCACTCTCCTATCAGGATGTTCCTTCCCTGCACTGGATCTAAGAAACAGCGAAACTGAGGAGCGGGGGGAGAAAAGGCAGCTTTCTGCTGTGCACAGGGGGTGTCCTCTACAGCAGCAGTTCCCAGACTAGGGGTCACAACCCAGAATGGGTCCCTGTGCTTGACACACATTCAGCTCCCCTAGGTGGGGTCAGACTGGAAGCCAAGTTGAGCATGCCCCAGGCTGGGGTTGCAGCCCAAAAGACTGGTCTAGAGCACGGTTCCTCCCTGGAAGAGAGGGGGGGATCTCTATCCACAATGCTTAGGGTGAAAAGAGAAATGTCAGTTCCTCTGTGCAGCCAAAGCTGTGGTTAATCCTGTCTCTACCATACCTTGGACAAAACCTAAGTGATGCCTCATTTCTGCTCTGTACAACACTGGCCATCAGCTAGTTCACTGGAGGCGACCTTTGTGGCAGCCCTGCACCCTCCCTGAGGGCTATTCTGATCCCTTTCCCAGCCCCATTTGCTGCTCTGCTTTCTGCTCCCTGTCCTATGTGCCACTGTACAACCTGTCCCCTCCCCAGCCTTCCACATGCCACACACACAGGTACTTATGCCACTTGTGGCACCCATGCCACAGGCTGCCCACCCTGATCTAGTTGATGGTATAACCATTCCACACTGCTATGTTTCCTGTACAACCAGGACTGTGGTACTTGGCCGTGTTTCACCGTTAGCCGGTCCTCTTAGGCTCTGTCTCTTGTTGTAGACTTGGGTACAAACAGCGTCAGCGGCACGCTCAGCTCCCTACAACACTGCAACCCTCGGGATGACTTTGACATGTTTGCACAGACAAGAGGCAGCTCCTTGGCTGATCAACGGAAGAGGTATGTGGCTATTTGTTTTTAATGCTCTTTAAATTGCTGGCACTGGTATTCCCTGGGAACACAAATCTGAAAGCTCTTCAGTAGAAAACCACTTTGTCGTCTGGATTGATGTGGATTTTGCGCTCTTAACGTACTTAATGTCAACTTCCTCCTGCTAGACTTCAGAGTATTTGAGGGTGTGGGGAGGCTGTTTTTGCTCTGGGCTAGAGTCCATTATTGATTGGCTCAATAATTTCAGGTCCCATCTCACTTGGCCTCTCCATTTACCAGCAAACTAGAAATCGAGAAAGGCAGTCGCTTGTATTCTCTTTCTATGGGGTGGGTTTATAGTAAATCTTCCCTCCTTTGGGCAGTCCTCAAGATATTGGAGCATTAGAGGGAACCTTAAGGGACTGGCAGTGGTTTTACTGCCTTTCATCTCAAATCCTGCATGGGTCTGTAATGACTGATATGGCTACCAAGAGTCTGGACACTGAATTGCCATCTCGCCCTTTGGGCTCAGGATCAAGGCAAGTTGGCTGGACATGAACAAGCTTGCTCAACTGCTGCTGTTCTTTCCTTATTTGTAGGGAGATAAGACTTTTACCCCTAGAGTTGCCAATCTGACACTTCCACAGTCCTTAAGTAGGCATGAATTTTTTAATGGAAGAGAACCCTGTGCTCTTATTTTTTGATCCAGCAGTGTTCAACCTTCTGGATGAGCAGTGT